GGTAACCAACTTATTAAAAAAAAAAAAAAAAAAAAAAAAAAACTGAATTGAACAACAAAGCACATGCTGACATCTCAAAAATGGGCTGAAAATTTTAATCTACTTAATTTCCTGTGTATTGCTTGTGATTTCAAAAAAACATGTTAACTCACGTGTTTATCATAAATATAAAATTTTCCCTTCCATGCAACACCACAGTAAGACCTACTACTCTCCCCCAACCCCCAACTCATTGTATAAAATTTTTTTGGCAATTAATTATGAGAGCAATATAGACTTAAATAAAAATGGGAATTATGTTATTAAAATCTTAATCATAGTGAAAAACGTACAGCCCCCAAATATCAATAGATTATCCTGGGCTGACTATAGAAGATGACTATATATTCTATAGATCTGCTTGATTTTAGTCATTAAATCTGAACTCCTTAAACCTGCAATTTGAAAAAACTAGTATAACAGCCTCTCATTCCTCTCTGAACCAAGACTGGTAGTTAGATGTAAAAATTCAGAAAATCCGGGAAGTCTCCCTTAAAATAAATTATACCATAACTCCACACCAGTTATGACAGTTTTGGCAAAATCATCTTCTAATGCCCTGTTCATTTTTTTTAAACATGCACGTTATAGATCCAGTCTCTCCGCAGAGCCCAGGAGTGCTCTATGTTCACACCAAGTGGGGAGTGAGGGGACCTTCTCCATTTTGAATTTTTTTGCTTTGGAAAGTTATTGCTTAATGTAAAAAAATCAGTGGAATGAACCAGAATTGATAACAAAGCTCACAATTTACTATGGAAACACCAGCCAGTGTCCACATTTGCATTTTGCACTGGAGCGCTAGTTTCTCTGATTCACAACATGCAGCCCCAGTACGGCCTGCAGCGCCATCCCCCAGTGTCACACTAGAGTCTGGAAAGCATCTCAGCACCGCAAAATATTTGGGGTAAAAGGCCAGCAGGAAGGGATCGCAGGCCTAGGACCCACCCGGTACAAATGGCGCCTCCCTCAGCACAGCGTGGCTTCGCAGCACCAGCCCCCGGAGCCTCCTCACGTCAAAGCAAAACTCCAGGACAGGAGCACAAGGTCTGCTTTGTGCTGTGAACAGCCAGTTCCCACAATAGCAGCAGCTGCACTGGAATCACTCAGTCCCTTTCAAAGCAAGGAGAGAACTTGGTGCTGAACGCAGAAGGGAAGAGTCACCCTAAGTCCCGACCAGGAGGACGTGTTGGCTGCTGAGGCTCTGCCGCTGTCCCTTGTCCCCTCCTCACAGCTGCAGGATGTAGTGAATCTCCTAGGTTATGAAGGACATGACTGGAGTGGCTCCAGGGAGGAAATTCAGCTCTGGATATTTTTTAAAAGCTCAAATCTGCAACACCTGAAGTGTACAAAGAGAATGAACTCAAACCGTCAACCACCGGAGCCTTCTGTGGAGATGCTTCTCCTCGGAGTCCTCACCTTCTGGAAGGAGGACTTCCACAAACACTGACACAGCACAGCAGTCTGGCTTCAGCAACAGGCAGGAGAGCTGCTCCTGGGAGGTGGCCGGGGCCGCGCTGCGTGCAGCCTGGAGCGGAGTTGGGGGCGCACCACCTGTCCATTTTTACAAAAATGGTGTAAAAAACTGGGGGACGGGTGGGAGAATTACAGGGAGAGGCTGCAAGACCCTGTAGCTCCTCAGAGAGAAGACTCAATTGCTGCAGAGAAGCCACCCTATACACAAGAGACCAAAAGGTGTTTGATTCCATTAGCAAAACAGAGCAGTATTTTAGGACTTAAGAACATAAAACACTTAACATTCATTTTTCATCAAAATAATTTCCTATAAGAACATAAAACACTTAACATTCATTTTTTTTGGTGGGGGGGATGGCTGGCAGGTACAGGGATCCGAACCCTTAACCTTGGTGTTATAAACCACACCCTAACCAACTGAGCTAACTGGCCACCCCGAACACTAACATTCAGAATCATTTATCATTTATGAAAGGGTACCATATGTACAGTTCCAACAATTCTGAAGACAGCACTATACTCAAAATATGTAAGCTTTACAAGTACCATGCAGAGCAAACAAACTATAAAAAAACAAACAAAAAATCAAACTAGTGGATAGCACCAGCTTGACCTGCCTTATCTTCCTTGAATAATTTAAGATTCTGTACAATGCTGGGGGCTCTTAGAACACTTATCCACAGTGCAATTACAGAAAGCAATTAGTGACTCTTTAAACATAATAAATATGGCTCGCTTGTGACCATGCCCCTTGTGCATCCTTCGTGGCACCCGTGCAGAGACCAGGACGGACAGGTGTGGATGCCAAGGACACCCAAAGGCCCCGGTGCGTACAATTCCCCACACATCCGAGGCAGTGTCACTGCCACCCTGGAACGACCAGGCACAAGCCCTTCAAGTGGAGGGTGGCAGGAGGCACGTGGCGCAGGGGGATGCCAGCTGCCGGGCTCCCTGCGGCCCTGCTCAGGAGCTCAGGGCCGCCTCCCGCTTCACCTCCTGATTCTGTCTCCCAGTCTCATGTCAGCAAATGGTGAGTGGATGTCATTGCTGGGGGAGCAGCCTCGGCCCAAGCGCACATCTGCGGCCACCTAATCCTTTTCTCCATCTTCGCTGCTTCCTATTTAGGAGAGAGGAAGCAACACAACAAAGTGGGTTTTTAAAAACGAATGTCACAGATGAGAATAGTTTGGACAGTGATGTGCACAGCAGAAAAAGGAACTGAAGCCCGTATCAAAACACCCAACACCTGCCCAACCACCCTTGTTCCTCCTTTATAAGCAGCACCTGCCAGACTCTCCCACAGACACATCTGCTCAGCTCCCACGCTGCTCAATGTCAAGGCTCAGGGCTCAGAAGAAACCCAGCTCTGACCTACACATCTGCCCCTCGGACAGCTCGTCAGGTAATGAGCATTATCTAATCAACACAAATGAAATGCAGTACAAATGCAAATAAAAGCTCTTTATATTTCATATTTATTGTTTGATCTGTAAACTCCAAGTTGAAACATGTACCTATTAACATTTATCTTTCAATCTAGCTATGAGGAAAAAAGGATCCACATGTTCAGATACTACCACTTCAAATGTGCCCCTGCCCATTAATTCCCACCCAGCACTCTGGCATCACACGAAGAACAAGACTTAATGGCAAAATCAACACTCCCAGGAGAAGAGCCAGAGTGCACTTGGGCTCAATTTCAAAATCATGGGTCACGTGTTCTTAAGAGCACAGGCCTCTGCAGAGCTGCTTCTCTCTGGGAAAGTAGAAGGATTGGGGATGAAGACGAGTTGCAAGAGGGAAAAAAGGAGAAGAGCAGGTGGAGTACACCTGGGGGTTCCTAGTGACCCAGAGCCACACAGCTCGCTCCCACCTCTGCCCACCTCACCACCCAGCAGGAGCAGGTAGTAACAAGCTCATGGAGTGACCAAGGCCTAAAGGGGGGGACATGACCTCAAGAGCACACTGTCAAGACTGTAGGAGTTTTATAAAAACAAATTTATCATTTACTCAGCAAATACCAAGAAAACATCAGATTAAAGTGTCTCCTAGTCCAGCAGGGTGTGTCGCTGGGGCTGAAACCCACCTCCCAAAGCCCCAGCGCACGCACGCACGTGCCCTCACCTCCCTGCTCGATGTCCGAGTCCGTTAGGTGCGTGAGGGAAAAGCTGGCGATGTTGGCGGGAGAGATGGAGAACCTGGAATAGGGCGACGTGTGCGGCCAGCTCTGCTCCGCGCTCCGGGGTGGCGGTGGAGGAGAAAAGTACTTTGATGTCTGAAGAGAAGGCTTGGAACTGAGAAGGCTGCTTGTTGTCTTTGACATAAAAGTATCCGGGGAGAAGTCGTCATCCCATTCAAACCCACCACCTACAGATAAAAACCAACAAAAGTCGCCCGCATCGTTCGGGCTGGAGAGGAGAGGAGAGGGGAGAAGAGCACAAATGCGCATGTGTCTCTGCGGACCAGCAGGCGCCACTGGGCCGGGCGGATGGCACAGCTGCTCTCGTGTGTTGCAAGGGTGTCACTTAAAGCCATATGTGAAGTCCCCCCGCCCCAAACGTTCACGTTATTCAAAGCCCTATTTTTCAGTTTCTTTTTAAACTAGTCAGTGAAGTGAAATACCTTCTTCATCAGTGGAACTTTCAGAATTTACGCATCTGCTCAGGCAGGGAGACCCCGAGGGCGGTGCAGGGCTGCTCAGCTCGGGGTCGCGCGCCTCTCCTCCACAGTGCCCCAGCTCTTTGGTTGGGGTCTCCTGAAAAGTCAAACAGAAGTTCCTGTCAGCAGCCGCCGCTCACGGAAACCGCCAGTGCGACCGCAGCCCGGTCTGGCAGGTGGCTGCGGAGCCGGGGCGGGGGCAGCAGACGCGTGGCCCGGCTCCCAGGGACGCAGCTCCGAAGCCGCGCAGGACGCCGTGCAGACCCGAGGCCTCTGAGAAAGAGCGAGCTGCTGGCGGGGCAGACTGGGGAGGAAGCTCGGAATGTCAAATGCCCAAACCAGGGCTGAGGGTGCCACTTAGTCCTCCAACATCCCCTGGCCTGGACACAGAGCTCCAGAAGTGGAAGTCTAGCAGCAGGAAGTCGTCCACGCTCAGAGAGGTTCTTTTCTCTTCTCCATTCTCCCGCTCTCAGCCCCGGGCAATCCCGGGTGACAGGGCTCTGCAATTCTGGGGAAGTGAGGCCTCTCCCCACAGGAGGACTGGGATCCCAAGAGAGGGAGGGGAAGGGCGCCGCTGCTTCTTTTCCCTCTGTCCTCCCTGCTTGGCTTCAGACATGGGCACAGTCACAGAATGTGTGCAGCACAGTGTGGTAACCAAAGCCCCCACCTTCTGGCTGGAGAACAAAGGGGGAGGCCGAGGAATTGGAAAGTAGCAGGGACATCATGGAAAGGGAGGAGCTCATAAAAGTGACGCTGTAAAGTTGTTGAGGAGCCCCTGGGATTACTCCTGGGCTGTACAAGGTAGATCTGACTTTAAACAACACACCAAAGCTTTGAAAAGTGAGCTGCAGGGGAGACTGCCACCAAGTTCCAGCCTGGTCATTCAGTGGCATACACATGGGACGGGTTTAGATCGTACAGCAAAGTATGTGAAAGGGGAACTAACGCTGAAACCACAACCCACAGGAGGGTGCCTGGAACTTGCAGCCTAAACCCAACCACGTCAAGCCTAAAAAGACAAAAATACCAACACCCTCCCTAGAATTTAAACAAGACACAGCATTGCATAACATGATTTGAGGATATAAAATCTAAAATTATTTAGCATACAAAGAAACAGGAAAACCTCAATTTCGCAGAGGAAAAGAATCAACAGATGCTAATGCCAACATGACACAGATGTTGGAATTATCGGAAAAAAAAAAACTTATAAAAATGCTCCTATAAGGAGGGGCAAACACTCTTAAAATAAACAGAAATATAGAAAATCTTAGCAAAAGAATCGAATGGAAAAATACACACCGTTTTTAAATAGAAATTTAAAAACACACCTAATGGGCTCAATAGCAGAATGGAGTTTACAGAGGCAACAATCAGTAAACTTGAAGACAGAGCAACAGAAATTATACAATCCAAACAACAGCACGGGGGAAAAAATGGAGAATAAAAGAACAAAGCCTCAGGACCTCAGGACAATACCAAAAGGTCTAACACTGGAGTCCCAGGAGGAGAAGAGACAGTGTAATGCAGAAAAATATTGGGAGAAATAATGGCTGAAAACTTCTCCAATTTGGTGGAAGACATGAAACTATAGATTCAAGAAGCTCAGCAAACCTGGAATGGGGAAAACAGAAAGAATTCCACACCCAGATGCATCATAATCAAACTGCTAAAAAGTAAAGACAAAGAAAGAATCTTGAAAATAGCCAGAGATAAAAGACTTTTTACTTATAGGGAAATAATGAGCTGAGTGACTGCAAATTTCCCATGAGAAACCATGAAGACCAGAGGGAAGAGATGCATTTTTTTTTCCTTTTTGTCTTTTTTACTGGCCGGTAACAGGATCGCAACCCTTGGTGTCACGCCCGTACCCGGGACCGGCAACGGGATCGGCAATGGGATCGCAACCCTCAGTGTTGCGCCCACT